TGTCACCTTCTATTCATAAGCAACACGGCTTTGGAAAATCCTAGCTGAGTCTCAGTTTGTAAATCAGTAAAATGGAGAGCACATGCTAAGGTTATGGTGAGGCCTAAATAAGACAGCATGTGACGGGCCTAGCATGCAGCATGGCACTCAGTAAGTGCTCGCTAAATGGTGTGCATTGGTTCATTCATTCAAAGAACTTACGCACTAGGGAAAATTAAATGAGCATAAACCATAAAATTTGACAGAGTCAGTATTTCTCAAATGTAAGTTAGAGCCCCAAACCTTCCATAAAGGCTCAGTAACTTTACTGACATTGATGTAGTGCAAAGCTTAGGGGACTTAGACCAATTTTCCTGGAGGAAAATTAAAACAGACTTTAAAAGACCTGATGTGTCCTGGTGGTATGGCTGTTGGTTGGGCATCATCCCATGCACCAGAATGTTGTCAGTTTGATTTCCAGTCAGGGCATATGCCCGGTTTATAGGCTCCATCCCCAGTAAGGGGCATACAGGATCTCTCCTCTCCCTCTCCCTTCCTCTCTCTCTAAAAGTCAATTTTAAAAATCCTATATAATAAAAGCCTAGGTGGTGTCACGCAAAGTAATCACAAGATGGCTACCACAAGATGGTCACCACAAGATGGCCAGCAGGGGAGAGCAGTTGTGGGCAATCAGGCCAGCAGGGGAGGACAGTTGGGGGCAAACAGGCCTGCAGGGGAGGGCAGTTAGGGGCAACCAGGCCTGCAGGGAAGGGAAGCTGGGGGTGACCAGGCCTGCAGGGGAGGGCAGTTGGGTGTGACCAGGCCAGCAGGGGAGGGAAGTTGGGGGCAAGATAAGGCCTGCATGGGAGGGCAGTTGGGGGAGAGAAGACCACAGCAGGGGAGGGCAGTTGGGGGCAACCAGGCCATTAGGGGAGGGCAGTTGGGGGCCATCAGGCCGGCAGGGGAGGGCAGTTGGGGGCAATCAGGCCAGCAGGGGATTGGTTAGGGGGCGATCAGGCAGGCAGACAGGCGAGCGGTTAGAAGCCAGCAGTCCCGGGTTGTGAGAGGTATGTCCGACTGCAGGTATGTCCGAACGAGCCTAAACCTGAAGTCAGACATCCCTCAAGGGGTCCCAGATTGGAGAGGGTGCAGGCAGGGCTGAGGGACACACACACCCCTCCCCCCCTTTGCACGAATTTCATGCACCAGGCCTCTAGTAAAAAATAATAAATAAATAAAAGATCTTCTGATGTTCTGACTAAGAGTTAAGTTTTTTGCCTGCAAAGCCCATTCCCACTTTGCTGCCACTTTGGAAATATCTATAGCATTTCTCATGAGAGGTCTACCATCCCAGCCTGGGATATGTTTTCTAAATATTAGATCTGAATTTATTTTATTTTATCCCTAAATGCATTGGGCCACAATCTTCCTGACTGGATTATATCAAACCTTCTATTTTTAGCAGCTGGTTCATTCAGTCCAATTCCTTACTATAAATACCTGTGTGCACTTGTTTTAAAGTAGAACTCTTTTATCATCTGATTGTCCCAGTCTAGATTGGAGAGGGATAGGGGAAAGAAATTTTTTTTACATGGCATAGAGGAGAGAGAAGTAGAGGCTGCATTGCTCTACTCTGCTCACCAGCTATTTTCAACTATTCCAGGATCCATAGCTGACTGGGTGCAGGAGAAAGCCAAGAGGGTCTAGCCCTCCTCTTGGTATTAACCTTGAGAAGTTGGCAACTGTTTGGGACTCAGTGGGGCCACTCAGACTCTTTCCAATTATCTCATCCACTGAAAGTTTCCGTTTCAGAATCCCATGTCTCTATTTCCCTACTCACATCATATACACACTGACTCCAGCCTCCAAGGCCAGCAAAGAGGGGTTTCTCCTGGTCTTAATGCTCTTGAGTAAAATTAAATTTTCATGCTATCTCATACCCATCTTCTTGGATTCCCAAAGAAAGGGACACTGAGCTCTCAGGGATACTGATTAAACTTCTACTGAGCTCAAAGCACAAAGAAGAAATAGTCAGGCCAGAGTCAGAGTGAGGGGTGGGTCTCCCACACAGCTGCTGGTGCACTAGCACATCAGGAAAGGTGTACCATTGGAAACTTAAGGGGGGCAGGGAGGGAACGGCAGATGTATTTTTAAGACTCTTCTCTGGAAAAGTAGAGTGTGTGGTTGAAGAAATATTGCAAGATGATCCTAGAGATGTGGCTTTCAACAAGGAATATTTGTCATTTTAGGGTAGCCAGTGTCTAAATAGTCTCCCTATTTTGAAGTTTCTACCAGCAGTCCTCCTTCTCCATTCTTCCACTCACTATCCCAGTTTTCAGGTTCTCCTCAAAATTAAAGTTGAACAAATATTTGATTCAAATAAATATGTTGATTCAAGGTAGCAGAAAATTATCAACAATTTATCAAGATTCTGGACTCGGCTGGGAAGCACAGTTGGTTAGAGCATCGTCCTGATACATCAAGGTTGTGGGTTTGAGCCCCAGCCAAGGCACCTACAAGAATCAACCAATGAATGTATAAAAAGTGGAACAGCAAATCAATTTCTCTCTCCCTTCCTCTCTCTCTGCTCAGTCTGGGTACATCTCCCAAGGATCTGAGAGGGTTACAAAAGCCTAACTGTGCACATTTCAGGCACCAAGGGCCTCTGTTCTCCCATGCAGCAGCCAATCGGGAGCAGCATCTCCTGGCCTCTCTCAGATGTATAAAATGAAGATGTGCCTGAAATAATAGAACAAAGTATTCATTGAGTATTTTCAAAAACAATTTATATGCGATGACTAAATGGATGTTTTCTCAGAAATGCAAAGCTGGTTTAATATTAAAATATCAACCATGGGATTCACCATATTAACTCAACAAAAAAGAAAAAATACAATTATCTCAATAGACTCAGAAAGATTATTAGAAAACAATTCATAGTAAAAATTCTCAGGGTTCTCGGAAGTTTAAGAAAGAGCAGCACAGACATGATGCCAGCCACTGTTGTCTTCACCACCCCCTCAACCACCCCACCCCACCCCCACCATCACAGAATAATAAGTTGGGATCTACCATACCTACTGAATAACTATGGAATATTACATCAAAACAGAGAAAATTGGAGAAAGTACCTATGGAGTTATGCATCAGGGTAGACACAAAACAACAGGTCAAGTAGTAGCCATGATGAAAATCAGACGAGAAAGTAAAGAGGAAGAGATTTCTAGTACTGTAATTCTGGGAATTTCTCTATTAAAAGAACTTTGTCATTCAAATACAGTCTTCAAGAGGTGCTTATAGCCCTGGCCAGTGTGGCTCAGTTAGTTGGAGCGTTGTCCCATATACCAAAAGGTTGCAGGTTTGATCCCCGGGCAGCGCACATATGGAAGGCAACCAGTTGATGTTCTCTCTCACATCAATGTTTCTCTCTCTGTCTCTCTCCCTTTCTCCGCCCCCCCCCCTTCCTGTCTCTAAAGTCAATAAGCATTAACCTTGAGTGAGGATTAGAAAGAAAAAAAAATGTGCTTATGAAGGACTCTAGGTATAACCTAGATATCTAGGTTATATCTCATCTTTGAATACCTTGGATCTCCAGAAATACTTGGACTCTATCCCTTCTGGTCAGTTCATGGATTCTTCACTTGTTCATAAGCACATCTTTTTTCTATCTTTCTAAACCTCACTCAAGGGTATGCTTGTTGATTTTAGAGGCAGGGAGAGGGGGGGAGAGAGAGAGAGAAACATACAAAACCATGCAAGAGGTTGTATTCTGTCACTCTAGAAGAGCTCTTACAGAGACTTAAAACCTCAAAGTCCACTGATAACAAAGGAACAATGACTAGTAAACCAGCTGGTTTGGGCCTTTCAGAGCTTTTGGAATACCAATCAGAGGAAACATACGTGAGGTAGCAGCACTCTGGTATACTATAGATCTCCAGAAGTACTGCTTGGTCAGCTCACAACTAAGCTAGCTGACCTCTGGAAGACAGAAACCATACCTGCAGAATTAGCAACAATAAGCCATCTGGGGATTCAGAAATTAATCAACTCTTCGGGTTTTCAAAGTTTTGGGGCACCACCAAAAATAAAGTGTGCCAGAAGTAGAATCTTCACAGGACTATAAGAATACGTTTCCCAAGTTGAAACCAGGAAACCTAGTATCCCATTGAAAAACTTGGTTGAAAATACCTTAGGTTTGCTTTCAAAAATGTTAGTTTATGATCCAGCCAAACAAGTTGCTGGCAAAATGGCACTGAGCCATCCATATTTTATTGGTTTGGACAATCAGATTAAAATGTAGCTTTCTGACAAAAAGTTTCTACATGTTGTATCAAGACCAGATAGTGATATTTTTACTGTTAATTCTATTTTTGTCCTGTGTATTTTTCTTCTCTTTATTTAAAAACTTAAGCTATACTTCATCTTCTGATTTCAAAATGTAATTTAAACATGTAAATATCATTCCATATGAATTTAAATATATGTGTGTAGGTTTCACTATAACAACTATCTGTTATTATAATAAAACTACGTCTAATATTGATGACAGGAATTGGGAAAATTTCTTAAGAACAGAAGAAAACTTCCTCAACCCAATATAGAACATTTATGGAAAAACTACAACTAACATCATACTTATAATGAAAGACTGAATGGTTTTCCCTAAGATCAAGAACAAGGCAAGAATATCTGCCCTCACCATTTTATGCAACATAATACTGAAAGTTCTAGCTAGTTTAAGAAGGCAGTAGAGTAGATAAAAGGCATCCAGATTTGGGGGGGAAAAAAGTAAAACTATCTTTGTCAAAGATGACATGATTACCTATATAGAAAACCCTAAAATATCTGCAAAAAGAGCTGATTTTAGCAAGGACACAGGACGCAAGATCTTTATTTTTTTAATAGAATTTCTATATGCTATTTGGATATTGAAGAATTGGAAATTGAAATAAGATAAATACCGTCAATTTAAAAACCACAATACTGTATTAGTTCTCGATTGCTATATAACAAACCACCAGTTTAAAACAACAAACGTTTATTATCTCACACAATTTCTGAGTCGGGAATCTGGAAGCAGCTTCACTGGGTGGTCCTTTAGCTCAGGGGTCTCTCAGGATGTTGCCGTCGAGATGTCGACTCAGGCTGCTGTCATCTGAAGGTCTGACCTGGGCTGGAGGATCCATTCCCAAGATCACTCACTCATTCTCTACTTGCTGGTAGAGGCCTCAGTTCCTCATTTAGGAGGTCTCTGTTCTTCACCACATTGGACTTTCCAACAGAGAGGTTCCCATGTCTTCCAGAGCAAGCAATGCACAAGAGAGCAAAGAAGAAGCCATGATGCCTTTTATTACCAATCTCAGACTTGGCATTCGACTTATGCCATATTCTATTGGTCACCCAGACCAACTCTGGTACAATGTGTGTACGGGGGTTGGAGAAGGGGGCCAGGTATTATATGAAGGCATTAATATCAGAAAGGAAGGATCACTGGGAGCCAATTTGGAGACTGGCTACCACAAATACCATTTATAATAACATCAAAAGACATAAAACACTTATGGATAAATTTAAGCAAAGCATATTTGAAATCTCCACACTGAAAATGATAAAATAATCACGGAAAAAATTAAAGAAGACCTAAATAAATGAGGATGTATACAATGTTTATGGACTGAAAGACTCAGTATTGTTAAGATACAGGTATTCAATATAATCTCAATCATAATGTCACCGCGTTTTTTCTTAATAGAAATTGACAAACTGACAATAAAAGTTATATGTAAATGTTAGGGACTTAAAATAGCCAAAAAAAAAAAACTGTAAAAAGGAAGACCAGAAAAGAGAAGATGGCGGCATAGGTAAACACCGGAGATTGCTGCCTCGCACAACCACTTCAAAAATACAACTAAAAGACAGAACGGACATCACCCAGAACCACAGGAAGGCTGGCTGAGGGGAAATTCTACAACTAGAAGGAAAGAGAAAACCATACCGAGACTCACAGGAGGCGCAGTGCGGAAGTAAAATACTAAGGTGCGGAGGTGCGCGCGGAGTGGGCTGGCGGCTGAGGGCGTGGTTGTCTGTTTCAATTGGGAGGGAGTCTCAGGCTCTGAGCTCCAGATCTGGGCGAGTCTCTAGGGACCCAGACTCAAACAGGAGAAGCGGGACTGTCTGGCATCGGTCGGAACTCGAGGGCAGCTTTCTCTCTGAGGTTTGCAGTGGTTGCTGGGACTCTGAGAGGCAGAGCCCCTGGGGATGGGACTGAGAGCAGCCATAACTGCTCGCTC